ACACACAGACTACAGGAATGCATAATTCATTCCTCCTTCTGAAAAGGAATCATGAGCAAGGAAGTGAGAGATCAGCACTCTACACTCATTGGTATAACTGCTGAAATACCACAACAGTTGAGCATTTAAAACAAATGCTGTTTGGTGAGAATGAATGAGCTCCCTGTATCTTATGCAGTAGCAGTCAAATACTGAAAGAACCAGCATGTCTTTTGCCTGAATTTAAACATCAGGCTCTCACATCCAACTTCTCATCCGGGAAAAGAGTAGGTGGAATTCCTCCTGTGTACATCCTCTGAACGGCTAAGCTAATTTATCACAGCTGTCTTGCCTGCCTTGTAAAACCTGAAGTTCACCATCAGACAGCCTCCCAGCTAACAGCACCCTGTCCACACCTGTGCCTTCTAAAAACTCACTGAATTGCATCTTCCCAGATGGGACTATTTTCTCCAAAACCAATCTCTTCTCTAAGCTCCTTCAGAGACTAGCAACAACGAAGGCACAAGAATCTTGTTAGACCTGACACCAATTCCCAAGGCTGTGGAATTGCCCAGGGCCAAATGCATTGACCAGAGAGAAAAACATCAAGCTACACTTGGATTGCTTAGCATGCTTGATGTCAGATGGGAACTTTTTTTTAGTTGTGACTTCTGGGTGGGAAACAAAGCTGCTTTACCAGAATTTAGGTCTGTTTATTACAGAACAAAGACTGCATGCTTATTTGGTTCAATTCTCTCTTTCAGCAAGACATCGTATATGCCATTTTTCTTCAGTAGAAGAGGAGTAACTGAACCAAAAACATGAGATGAAGAATAAGAATGAAAAATTGTGATCCTACCTACAGCACTGTCAATGAACTACTTTGGGACAACTAATGAGTATCAGCGTCTCACTGCAAGAAAGCCACCTTGGAGCCTCAAAATATTTACAAGATGGAGATTTTTTTTTTTTCCCTCTCTCTTCTAGCCACTACAGTAATTTATTGGATACAGGCCACATTTACAATTTCATTTGAAATGCATCTGGGCAGTCCCAAAAGAGACTCAAAGTAGGATAATCAAGAACAAGTCAGACTCCTTCAGAGAACTGTAAATTATTTTTAACATGCATATTTTGACTTACTGTATGCTAGTAGTTATTTCTCACATTATCAAACTTGGAGGAAAATAGTCACAACTACTAAAGACTGTCTTGTCAGTTGCAATATTTAATTAAAACCTCTGCCTTTGCCTCCAAGATTTCAGCAGAGTGCATCATTTGCACGGATGTGGAAGTGCAAATGGCATAAAGCCATTTAGGAATTGTACTGTTCCCACCAAAAAATGTTAGTGATTAAAGGAGGTCAACAGTTCATTACAAAATAGCTTCGTACTAATTACACAGAATTTTTTAAAAAAGAGGAAGTAAACAAAATTCTAGAAAAAAATACTCCACATCTCATGAGATAAATTTCTTTGTATTTAATTGTTTCATGTTACCCCTTGCATATCCGCATTTTTAAAGTGCATAAAGAGACCAGCTCTTTACCCAGATGTGTCAGATCTTTCAGATGCTGGATGGCCCCTGATAACTTCTCACAACCAAATCCTGCTGCACCCTTCCATGACATGTCCAACCCTAATAATGAGTGGTCAAAGTTTCCTCTTACTTGGGTGTGCATAAATGCCTCAGCTGCCAATCTTTATCCCTTAGTGCAAGGACTCAAAGTTAAATGAAGCTTTAACCTCCTCTCTCAATCAAATCCACATTCCAAAAAGATTCTCAGCCAGTTCCAAAATGTTGCTAAAATATCTTGCAGTCATCTCTGCATGCCCCTTCCCTCCCAAGAAATACTATAAGATTAAGAAAAGTTACTTTTAAAACAGTCAAGAAAGATCCTAGGATTAGTGATCAGTTAAGCTTGCTACAGCAGCAAGAACCTGACACAGTCCTCTAATTACTTTCTATGACATTTTAGATAATTACGGACCTGATAACAATCAGTCCGGCATCTGCTTCCTGTAAAAGAACACTGTGCTTCTCTAAGCAGTTTTCTTTATTTTCTTCTTTTAAAATTAGTTCAGAACGATAAAGGTGGCTTAAAAGAGGATGTTATTTGGAATTTCACCACCAAAAACAACAACAGTGGAACGAAGTTTAAACAAAGTAACAAAATAATTAAAGCTTGCATTTTAAAGGTCTTGGCATCTAATCCCAAACAGGATTCTCCCAAAGGGAGAAATATGTCTTGACATCCAGGAAACACAAAATTAGGCTGAAGCTCAGTTCTCCAGAATTTTTAAAGTTTTTGTTGTGTTATTGAAGTTATAATGAAGAACTATTTTTCAGCAGAGAAGGCACCTATATGAAAATCTAGAGGCCTACCTAAAGCTAGTAATACTATGTGAACATATTAATGGGGAAAATAGCAGAAAGAGAGAAGCCCTTTCATTGCCCCCTTAACCAAGGGACAATGATGATTTTACAAAATAGGGCAATACAGACCAGTCAGGGTAAGTCTAGGATGGATGTCTAAGAATAAGTATTTAACCATTTGAGGTTAGAGTGTAAGAGTTTACTTACTAACTCATCTGTCCCCACAGTTTAGTCATTGTACTGGGTTTGCATGGCAAGGTTTTGGTAGCAGGGGGGCTACAGGGGCGGCTTCTGTGAGAAGCTGCTAGAAGCTTCCCCCATGTCCGATAGAGCCAATGCCCAACGGGTCCCAAACGGACGGGCC